GACCTCAGAGTGAAACCTGAACGTTTAGACACCTGTAACCATGGCAACCTGCCTGTATTTTTGTGTTTTTATTGTATTTTAAATCGGCCTATAGGCTCATCGTTATTTTGTCCAAATCAAAACAAAACAATTTTCACAGCACCTCCTGTTTAAAATGACTTCCAGCGGTCCTGGAAAATGTTTTATTTATTTATTTTTTTTAATAATTGCTTAATAATCAGATAGCCGAAGGTTCCTTAGAGAAGATTTTTACCAAATTAAACCAGATAAAACTGAAACTTTCCACTTGAGGAGTTCCGATAGAGCAGATTGACATAAGAAAGAGTTTTTTATTGTAAGCGTAAAATCTTTACATATTTTATTATAATCTTGGTATAATTCCTGCTCTAAGTATTTGCTCAGTCAGCTAAAGGAATGATTTAGATTCCCTATTCTCCAGTTAATGATTATTAATTACTAAATTAGCTGGAGATTATTTCAATAATCTGATTAAGCTGATTGATTGTTTCAGTCTGAGATAAAATCCCAATAATTTACCGTCAGGATCAGGGATTAACACAGATATCAACTAGGTGGCGCTAGAGCGCCTGCTCCTTTTCCCCCCTGGACAAAAAAGATGTTTTTGTTTTTTACTTTCTTTATTCGTCCACCCAAAATAGTATTTATGAAATTAAAAGCCACTGAAACCCAGGGTTTAGATTTTAGTCATTTTGCTCCATGAGACATGTAGCTCCGCCTCCTTAGAGCGTTGCCATGGTGAAGCACCAGCTAACCTTCCAGGTAACTAAACAAGCTTATTTACCTCCTTCATCAACTGATTAGGTCTCAGCATAACGTCTTTAATGGCCCCAAGGAACGGTTTAAAGCAATTATTTGATTAGTTTAGAAAAAGTGTAACTTAAAGCATCTTATAGATGTAATTATTGATTTGCTGTGATGGTTCCTGTAATTCCTCCCTGATCACATCTATTGGACTTTATTATGAAAACTACAGGTTTGGTCTATTAAACATTTCATTTTAAAGCAAACATAAGGCCAAATGATCACAGTTAGTAAAAATAACTTTAATAAAGTTCCATTCATTTTTTTATTTATTATTATTTTAAATGTAAATCCAAATAAACTCAATAATATTCTGGAATCCTGGGTTTTCTTTAGTGGATTTGAAATTGTTATTTAAGTGAAACCTTTTCTACCAATGGACAGATGAAGATGGTTAAACGTCAGCATCAGACCGTGTTTTTCTGTATGCAGCTTCATGTGGAGTAGAAGGGGCCATTTTTCCAACCTGAGCCCCTGCCCCCAAACATTGCTGTGCACGCCACTGGTCAGGATGGTGGTTTTGAACAGACATGGGAATGCTAAAGGTGTTTTCAGTCAGGAAGCATAAGCTCTACCTTCTGTTAAAGTATCTGAACGCTCCAACTTTCCATCCAGATGCAGAACTGGAGGCAGAACTTCCTCTGCAGACACTGAATGGTGAACGTTCCCGGTGAAGGAAAGCTGGAGACCCGCAGAGGTTTGTCCAGATCCTTTGACCTGCACCATGAATGCCTCCTGTCCCTGCATGAAGGAGCCACTCAGAGACACACTGTGGGGGGGGGGGATAAGGAGACAAGAGAATAAAGACATTTCGGATGTGCATTAAACATCTGTTCAGATTCCCAGATAGTGGCAGACAGACCCGTCTGCTGACATGTTGGCTGCCACGTCCAGCTGCAGGTCAGTGGCTGCAGGTAGAAGGCTCTGGGACACGTTCAGGTTCAGGGTCGCTGCTCTGGTTCGGTTCTGCAGCAGGTGGGACACCCGGCCGCTAAGAGCCGCCCTGTTCTTCCCATTAGCCGTCACACGCAACCAACTGCTTCCTTTTCCAGTCACTGAAGCGTCTACAGCAGCTTTCACCTGGAGAAAACACGCAGTTTCACTGTGAAGCAGACGATATGAGGAACAGATTAGAATAGCTGCGGTATCTAAGCGCCCACCTCCAGCGATCGGGGGATCTTTGATTTGAAGGGATGCCTGAGAGACGAACGGAAGCTGATTCTTCCTGTTGTTCCGTTCAGCTGCACTGAAAGCTAAAAAAACCAGCATGTTTGTAGAGATTTAACAGACAGTGATGTGAATGTTTGTTTATTAACTCTCACTTTGCTCTCCTGATGCTCTATTCTCAGCTTCCCTCTGGCCTGATAGTCAAACCTGTTGTTGTGTTTAGGGATCCAGTAAAAGTCTCCCTGCAGCAGGGCAGAGGAGGGCAGCTGCAGCTGTAACAGAAGCAGCAAAATAAAGGAATGATGACGGGTTTCTATTCAGTGTATTTCTATAGCTCCAATTCACATCATGTCATCTCGGGTCACTTTCCAGTTCAC